GCAGCTGGATTGGAGACACCTGTGAAAGTGATTAGTGACAACCAAAACAGTGTGGAAGGGGGAATGGAGGATTCCACCTCTACACTCTTACATTCACCTAAATGTTTTAACAAGTGGTGCTGGAGAATCTCTGTCTTTACTTGATGAGGTCATTGAAATTATCCTTAGTGATCATGATTGACTGCAGCAACAAATAGGGATGGACGTACCGATCTAAATATCAATAGTAAAATTAAGATGAGCATCTGTTTGATATTAGCATGATGAGATCGGTACCTTTTTTACATATAATTTTCACTGCTGACTTTATTGGGGGCAGCACTGGAATGCCTGGAATGTAAAATATTATGTGTTTATACTGCTGGAGCGAGGCACGTGTTAAATAGAAACTTGTTGATTATCTTCCTCACCAAGTGAGATATAAAACTTCTGAAAATCCACAAAATATCCAACAATTTGGATGTATACTGGTAAGCATTTATGCTCAGATTTGTTGAGTAAAGTGAGCAGATAAATACCCAGGTTACATTGTATCAGTAAATTAACTGATTCAGGAGAACTTGTGGTGGTTTTTGTTGGATTCAGCCCGGTGCTTTGTTTACAGTGAGTGCAGGTTCAGAATTTGATCTCACTATTGCAGGAAAACTACTGGAGTAAACTCTATCATAACTGCACTAAATATAGTTCAGAATAATATTTTATGTTTATTTCATAGATTACAATAAGTAGCTTTAGGCTTGAGTGTGGAGGTGATGCATGTGTGTGTGGGGGGGGGGGCATTGACTGTGAGAAGGGGACAGGTATAGAGCATACAAAAAGAACCTATGTCAACAAATTGAAAACAAAACACAAATTGTTTTAGTGGTGTTTTTGATCAGCTCAKTCTTACAAGTGTTCATGTGAGGGCTGATGATTGTGATTGGCTGCGAGACCCCCTCCCACCAGGGGAGTCCTGGGTGGGCGGAGAGCTTTAAAGACTCGCAGCCTGCCTCTCAGTCCTTTCTCTCAGCAGCAGAGGAGGAGGTGCAGGAGGAGGAAGAGGAGGACATCCTAAAGTCGGACTAAACGCAGACAGACTCTCTGGACCAACATCTGAATCAGGTCAGGGCGATATGATCGATATATATGATCAAGTTTTTATTTAACGTCTGTTTTTGACAAATAAACTTCTAAAATACAGCCTCCTTTAATCTGGATGATAACGAGACATTACGACGTGTCCTAGATCAGTTTGAGATGCTGTGTTGGAAAGTTTAAAATCTCGTCACTGAGGAAAACATTTGTGCCAAAACTTCCCATGTTTTCTTTACCTGATGCTTTTATCCTCTTAAAGCTAAAAAACTATACAGATATTTCAACTGCTTTAAATAGAAAAATGTGAAATATGAAAATCCAAACAAGCAGTATTATAATTCAAGGAAATTTACTTTAAACTGAAAATATAAATTGCCAATTGATCAAAGTGACTGAGACCTTAGAAGCAATAAATAAATAAATACAATAAAAGGAGTTTACTTTGATTCATTTGAAACTATAAAAGCAACTCCTGTGTACCATAAAACTACTATGACTGATATAAGATTTCTTTTTCCTTCCAGCTCCAAAGGAGTCACCTTCAGGAAGTATGGATGGATTAATCCTGCTGAGGCGTCTGGTGCGTACTTTCCTCCTGAACCCCCTCCTATAGATCACCACACAGCTCGAGGAACTCCGGCAAATTTGATTCAAAGCTGCAGCTCAGAGTAAATATTCGTCATTCTTAAAATCTGATTAGCCTTTTTTTCCAGGTTTGCTGTTGATGCTGATGGGGAATTCGTTCACACGTAGAAGGTGTGTTATTTACGGGGCACTTTGAAATCTGTGCCAGACTCTGCTCTGGATGCACCCAGAGCCTTTCTGGCTCCTGTCTCACATTACAGTGACCACAGCTGAATAATTCACATGTTGGCTGTCATGACTGATCTACGTTTTGGTGTCTTGAATTTGATGGAGGTGTGCGCTCTTCCAGCTTTAATGAAAGTTGTAATGATCTTTGATGTCCACGGCTCACTGTGTGCCGAGGTGTTCCTGCACCAGCATGGGGAACATAGAGAGGAGGTTTATTTATTTATCTGTTTGCAGGTTCAGGTAGGACTGAATTTGATAAAACTTGGTGGCGAGGCAGAGAAACCTCATCAGATTTTAAACAAAATGTACTTAAAAAAAGGAAAGAAACACAACTTGATAATGTCCAGTAATCAAATTGAAAATTCTCTAAAGTTTTTGTTACCTCTGCTTATTGAGCCAATTTTCCTAAAAGAAATATGTTTAAATTTTAAATTTAAAAAAAGTCTAAATTGTAATAATCTCCTTTTCTGTTTCATTATCTAAACATAACAAAAAAAATAAGGAAATGTGTGTTTGGTGGATTATTTCTTTGTTGTAACAATGCTTCTTGGCAATAAATCATATATGGTTGGAAAATCTGTTAATTTCCCTTTAAAATTGTGCCACATTTTTAAGGATCATGCATTTGTGCGATGAGCAGTAGAGCTGGGTATGTGGGTGCTTCCAGTCACATGATTTTTTTTGCCAAGAAGCATTGTTACAGCAAAGAAAAAATCAACCAAACACAAATTTCATTGTGCTAACTATAGTTCTGTGAGTCTATCCTTTTGTTTCATTCTCTTTGGGATTTTATTTTAATGTGTTTTTGGATCTTTGTGTTTTATTGTGTGTTTGAGTTCAGCCACTTGTGCAAGAGCAACAGCAACAAACTAAGTGTCACTGTCAATTTAGCTTAAAAAAAACCATCGCTCATAATTTTGCATTAGTTATTTCCATAAAAATCTATTTGCAAGCACAAATGGCAGACTGTACTTCGATTGCACCTTTCTAGCCAACCAGGCCATTTAAAGTGCTTTACAGCCCAATCTGTCTCATTCACCCAGCCTCACGGCACATTCCTACAAAGCTAATCAGAATAAATCTTTCTATAGTCTAATCAGTGCTTTGGATCACATTCAAACGCTACAGCAAAGGCAGTGAGGGCTTCGGTGTTTGGCCCACATGTGATTGGATACTTGTAGAATCAAACCTCCAACTCTCTGGTTTGAGGATGACTGTTCTAACCATTGAGCCACAGCCATCCCTAAATAGCAGCTAGCTGTAGCACTTCCATAACATTTCTGCCAGAATAACTGCAAAACTGATGACAGTAATCACTTTCACATTTTTGAGATCAAAGTTCTCTTAAAGGCACAGTGTGTGTTATGATCCTGCTTCTGTCTGCCTTGTCATGCTCATTTCCTGCTCCTGTCATTCTTGCCC